TTTTTTTTTTTTTTTTTCTATCATTTTTATCATCATCTATCTATTTGAATAGATGTGAAGAAAATGTAACACGACGGTGACGTACGGGTGGTAAAAATGACACAAATAATTTTGTTTGTTTAACTATGCGTCGCCGCTTTTCAATATTTTATATTCGCTGATATATATATATATATATATATATATTGTCCTCTCTCTTCCTCGGTATTCCACGAATACTTTTTTTTTTTTTGTTAACACTTATTTACACAACAAGGAAGTCCAACGGATCATGTCTTTAAAAATTAAGCCACCATCCATATTTGTGTTAGACCAGATATGCTGGACGAGATCCCATTGTCTATTTGGATGTCGGTACAGCGGGTTGATGCTGACCTGTCATCCCCAGTCTTGGTTGCGAGGAAGCTAATAGTTCCTTGTAGTAAGCGCTGAACTCCGGTGGTAGAAAGGAAGTTCCAGCTGCATGTGGTATTGGAGGTGGAAACAAGCCATTGTAAAAGGCTGAATAGTACACAGGGTCCAACATTGGTAGGAACTTGCCTGAAGTGTTTGGCAGTTGCGAGAGAAAAGCTGAATTGCTTGGTGGCACAGTGGGTATAAAACCGGAAGGTATACTTGGTACACTGTGACGCCGACCAATCTCTGCCGTCTGTCTACTAATGTCTTGCTGATGTGGTTGCAACACTACAGGTTTATCACCGTCGCTAATTCTACGTTGTTGCTGATCTTTACCAGCCTCGCATGTTTTCCTTCTATCTATACTTATTTGTTGTTGAACGTTAGTCATTCTAGGATAAGAAGAAGGGTTCACACTATTCAGATGATTTAAATTAGGTACATTGGGTATTACGGGATGCGTGGGTTGTTTCCTAGGTGTATAAGGTGAGACTGGTTCGTTTCTTCCACAATATTTACCGTTCATTTGTCTCCTTTGTGCTACCGAATGATAATGATTATTAGTTCTGTTAGGTGGGCTCGGTATTTGCACGTGAGACGGTACTACACCGTTATAATTAGTTTTTTGCTTAGGATTGACTAACGTGATTTCTAAATTATTCGATGCCATAGTCCGACTATCAAGAACTGATTGATAATTTGGAAACGTGCCTCGTTTTATCGTACATTCCATTGGTTTATCTTTGATCGTCGGTGATTTCCTCATTTCTAAATTGAGCGGATTAGGCCTCGGCACTACAGGTACCCTAACAATCTCGAGACTCGGCCTCGAAAAAGTAGCCTTTTCAGTTGGCTTTTGAGTTAGATCGAGAACTCCGCTATTTCCACTGTAGTCACTGTTGTTACAAATCGTATGTGGCTGTATCCGCTGCTGATGTAGGGGACGATACCTTGGAGATATAAGAACGTCTTTTGGATTTCCGTATACTGTTTTTTCGTTGTGCGCGAAAATTGACCTCGATTGCGTAACCTTCGGCGGTAATATTATTCTCCCGTTAGGAACGTTCGGTGGTACAAAACGATGATTGGAATTATTAACCATTTGCGTAGTCGATCCTGGTACCATATTGGCATTCGCATACAATTGCAATAATCCAGCATTGTTCGAACTACCAAGATTAATAACTTTACTATTCGTCGTACTATTATTGATGTTGTTGTTCGTCGTACTATTATTGTTATTATAATGGACGGGATGTTGTTGTTTTCCTTGGGATTGAAACCGAGGCTGCTGTGGCTGCTGCTGCTGTTGCTGCAACTGCTGTTGTTGCTGTTGTTGCTGTTGTTGCTGATGCTGCTGCGGCTGAGGCTGCGGCTGCGAATGCGGCTGCGGATGCGGCTGCAGATGCTGCTGATGGTGATGATGATTGGTCTGATTATTTTCCTGAGGTGATGGCAACATATGTCCTATATCAGGTGTGACAGTGACGGAGATAAGCTTCGGCACAGAACTAGGTGTAACAGAAAGTGGATAAGGCGAAGAAGGCAACTTCTCCTCGGGTTTGGTTGATGGTGGGGTCGGTGTCAAGCTGCTCTGGATCACACTAGGTCGCGAATCAAGTTCAACAGCGGTAACTTCGAGACCACCTTCTCGTAAAATTTCCAACTTTCGCTTCTTAAAACTTGGTATTATTATTTTATCCCTACTCGTATCACTTTCTGTTTCGAGATCAATCACTTCCGGTGATCTTGGCGGAACGACTATCGCCTTCTCCGTAAATATTGGTTTCTCACCGAACAAAGGTATGTTTTCTTTACCCTGTGCCAACAGAGTCGTTTGCTTAGGATCTAATTTAATCTCTTTCATGTCTTTTTCAGGTGGTGGTGTCAACGTAACTACCGTAGACGCATTCATGGCTACTGTGCTCACTGGTAATCCTGGAGACGAACAGGACGGTGGTACTTGCTGTGACACGAGTGGACTATTTAACTGACGTTCAAGAACACTTTGATTACCGGTGACGATCGTGGGCGTCGTTGAAGGTGTACTACTTGGAGTTGAGATTGGTGTGTTCGATGACGGTGGAGGACTTGGCAGTTGGTTACTTTGCTGGCTAGTAGGTGGTGTATTGTTAGCTATTATCGTATTCAATGATTTGAGACGTTCTGGTTTCACTCTCACGCTACGCAAAGAGGATGTTTTCCCGACGTTCTCTGATTTTGGTTTCTCGTTTGATGGAAATGACTGGAATATCAAATTTTCAATTAGTAATCATAAAATCAAATATATTAAATCATTTATTTGAAATACAAAGTTAGTGCCATTACCGTTGTTGATAAAACTGGTTGCAAAGGTGGAGAAGTGTTTACAGGAGGTGTTTCAACCAATGGTGGTGTCCCCGAAGAACGAGAGTCACTTGTTTCTTGACCCTCATCCACTGGACTTTCAGATATACTACTCGTTTTCGTACGTCTTCCATGTGTTAATCTCACTTTGGGTTCTTCACCTCTCTGATACCTTTCATAAGGCAAAAGCAACCTAAAACAAATATATTGAAATTTATTATTTTAGATAATCACTTGAATTTGTGCTCAGGGAGACTACTATTAACAATCCTACCTTTCATAATGTCTACGAGTTATGGTTGCTGCGCTAGTGGATCCAGTATTACCACCAATATCGTCGTAAATGGTTTTCCAAAGTCTTCCGGCACTAACGGAATCGTATCCACCGAGTGTCTGTACTTTTGTGTAAAATAGGAACAGATCGACTGTGAAAAGAAAATTTGTAAATAATTATTACATTTATTTTCAACGATTTATTTTTAACAATTTTTTTAATTATCATTTAATAGTCCTTTGCACTATCAGATTAGTGTGATATTTTATTTACAATTAATTTATAAATAAAAGTAATTTTATTAAATTAATTAATCTTGACAAATTTTCAAATAAAGTCCCATTGTATGTATAATATAAATACAACAGTGCAAAGAATTATAATAATAAAATAAAATAATTTATTACAAAAGTATACAAACTTTGTCTGTATCCCAATAATGGCATCTTTCCAACTGGTGTACCCCGAGAACTCATAAAAGTTTGTACATCGACCATGAATTTCTTTTCTTCGGCACTGGTTTTCCGTTCGCTTCGTCGTACAGCCGATGATGGTGGCCTTCCAACAGGAGCTGGTACCAATTGTTGGTTGTTTGAATTTGTCGATGCACATTTTGACGATGATGCAACCGATGCTTCACTCTCGTTGCTAGATTCACCCGGTGATGCACTTCGCTTTTTACGTTTCCTTCGTGGCCGTCCTTTCAATTTAGGCGCTGAAAATGTTCATTTCAATATGAAGATGACCCAACACAATACAACTGATTTATCATTTTGTTTTTTATTAATTTAATTTTTCATAGCACAAAATATTACATTTGTTGTTTTTTTCATTGATAAAAATTAACCACAAATTTTTAATTCATTTTTATCGTTCGAAATATTATTTTGAATTGCCGCCATTTTGTAAAATTATACAAATTGCAGCAAAAAACAACTGCTGTACAAATTTATATTTTATAATTTAACGGACAAAGAGAGTAACTTTTAATTTGTACTTAACTTTTTCAATTTAACTTATAAAAACTAAGTTAAAGTATAACACGCTTTATTACTAAACATGTAAAATGTTTAAAAAAAAAAGCCAACAAAAAAAGCTAAGTGTTGGTGCCAAACTTTAACGTGATTTGTTCAACTAAACAAATTTCACAATTAACGTTTTGTATATAATTTTTTAATAAAAAAAAAAAAAAATTGTCGATAAAATAAACTCCAACTCACATTTACGTAAAACCATATTGGTAACTTTTTCATCGGATATTTTCAAATAACTTATTTGATTTTTACAAATCTTCATAACAATTGGCATAACGTTTTTTTGAAAAAATATCTAACAATCCTCGTTAACAAAATTTTGTAATAATTTTAAATTTGATACTTTTAATTTCTTAATTTTGTACGATAAACTTTTTATACTTTTCAACTAATCAATCCGTGATATACAACTAAACTTTAGACACAGTCATTGCTTAAAGTAAATTAGGTTAGAATTCTTAATCGTACGAGTAAAATATGCTAATTGTTTTCCGTCATAGTAATTCGAATAAAACAATAAAATATTATGATTAAAAACTCGATATCAAATAAATCGTTCTTTGTAATCGTAAATTTTTGTTTTTTCATTGTTCAATCACGTTGACCAAACCTTACAGGTTAACCTTCTTTTATTTATTAATTTTTGTATTCTAAATTAATCACTAATTTGACTAAAAAGTTTTACTTTCAATACAGAAACATCACCAACTTTATTCGTTGCCATTCCGTTTGAGACTAATTTTAATTTAAGTAAATTCATTTCAGTTCACAAGTTTTAAGTGGAAAAAAAAAAAAAAAACAGAAGAAACATATTACTTAAAAATAATTATTTTTACTGAGAAAAAAGAAAACAAAATGCGCTTATCATTTGTATCATCAGTTAACCGTCTGAACGTTTAACCAACGCCATTGTTCGAAAAAACAATCGACAATTCTCACACTGTATTAGTCAAATCGGTACAATATTTTTTGAAATAAGCCAATAATAGAATGTTGAATAATTTTTATTATAAAAAAAAAAATAATATTATTTTTAGCATTAATCTATTTCTTGTAAAAATGGTGTAACCAAATTATTATCATATCTTCATGATAAATAGACAAAGAATAAGCGTATATAAAAGTGAATAAATAATAATAGTAAATGGACTTTATTTATTATTTATTTATGCATTGAATTCAATCTATATTTTTCAATAATAATTTACATTTCATTTATATTATGACTTATACCAATGGAAAAGTTACACAATCATCGTAAATAGCCCGCGTATATACGAACTATAATTATTATTCAAAATCAATCGGAAATATTAAAGTGCTGATAAATGTTTCTCTTTATCGACAATAAAAAAAAAAAAGAAAAACAAAATGGATAAATTTATATTCATTAAAAAATACAAAAATAAAAATAAGTGAACTTTACCTAAATGATTGCAAAGTAATTCGTGTGTTTCCAAATCCGGATAATCGAAAGTGTCTCTACAGAACAATACACGTGTTCCAGGTGTAGCCGTAAAACCACCAAGGGCAGCAGCAATCGAAGAACAAAGCCACGACGGTTCCGCTCCTTCCAATCTTCTTAAAAGGGCTCGATATCTACAATACCTCGGATACGAAAGAACAACCACTTTGGTTTGACCATCGCAATCGGATTTTTTCGATGAATTAATATTGCTCTCGTATTCTTTCTGTTGTTTGTCAACGTCAGAAAAATCGATCCCTGGATCAGTCAACACTTGAGGCTGAGGAATTTCGTATCTTGGTGGACTACTTTCCGGAGAGGATGTTGGGGTTGGTGAACTTGGTTTGAAAATTTCTCGACCCCAAGACCATTCCAATGATGGTGATAACCAAGTAACCAAATCGTGAACACGAACGACTACTTTTTCCGATATTGTCAGTACTTCGTCCTGTAAAAAACAAAAAAACAAAAGGTACGTTTGTTAATTATAATTTTTATTGCGATAACATTGACATTAGAAATTAATATTTGATTTAATTGAACAATAAATCATATATTATTTAATAGAATATTTTATCAATGAAGATAAACAGCATAAAACCAACAAATTTACAATTTCGAAAATTCATTTTTCCTGTAAAAAAAGAAAAATTCATCCTATTAGTTAGCATTGAGAACACCAGTGGGCGGTAGTAGATAACACGATGACAGTACAATATTATCAAAAAAATAGCCTACTATCGCCCACTGGTGGTCCCGGTGCTAACTAAAATGAATTATTGTACAAAAACCTTCTATATAACTTTTTTCATATTCTTTGATAAAAAAAAAATATTAAAAGATATAATCAATGCTGTTGACATTAAACATTCCTTCTTTACCTACATTCTAGTCGGTAATTAATTTGATTTACCAACTGAGGCCCAGAAAACCAGTTTTACCGACATGTATTAAATATTTCTATCAAACTCTAAGAAAATAACACGAGATTATATTAGTAGCGTCGATAATAATCAGTGTTTATAGTTAGATACATGATTATAAATGTAACTTTATATTATTATAACTCTCTAACGGATCGTTATCCATTTCGCTTGGAGAATAATTTATTTACCATAACGGATGCCTCATCGCAACGTCGTAATTACAAAGTTTATCTTTATGTTCGTTAGATACATTAAATTTCGAGCCATTCCCCAACCCAACACGAACGTATAAATAAAGAACTTCCCCCTCTCCATACCCCCTCCCCATATTCCTTCCCCACCCCCTACTACTTCCGTTTTCTTAACTATCTTCATAACCTCAAAATAAATCAAATAATATGTGAATATTAAAAAGCAGACAAATTTATAATTCTTTGCAAAATAATTCACGAGAAAAGAAAAAAAAAAAGAAAAGATAAATCAATAAGTAATACTAAAATTAAAATTAAAATCAAATTATTATAGTATGAGTTCAGAATTTCTATTTGTGAATAAAATAAATATAATATCCGTTGGGATGAATTAATTTTCAAAATGGCCGCTCCCGCTCCCGCTGCCGCTGCCTCTGCCGCCGAACACGATTAATTAATATAAAATGAAATAAAACAAAGAAAAAGCGAAATAAATCGATACAACACAGTCAGTGAATATAAAATATAATATTCGTCGGAATTGAATTTATTTCGTAAATGACTGTAACATGTTTACATAATAAAAAATAAAATAAAATAAAATAAAATAAAATAAAATAAAATAAAATAAAAATAAAAATAAAATAAAAATATAAAAATCAATTGAGATACTGTTTTTTTTTTGCGAATAAAATGAAAATAATATCAAATGAATTTTATTTCATAAAAAAAGAGAGATGGTGGTGGTGGGTGGTGACATGTTTTTTTATCACGATAAAAATATATATATATTTTTTTTTTTCATACAAAGAGGAGGAGGAGGAGGAGGAGGAGTAGTTTGTCCATACGTGGAATATAATAGAACGCTAGCAATTTGGGAGCCACTGTTGCCCGGGTTATACTTTCATCTTTTAGCTTCGTGCTCATCCAAGCTTTGTCCCTCTAACACATAGACACCTACATAACTACTACATCACCGATAAGCACTCCCCCCCTCTCCTACTGTATTCTTTCTGTTCGCTATTCTACCTGCTCCCACTCTTCTTCCACCCTTTCCTCACTCCCCTAATCCTCCCTATACTTCCCCCTACTCTTCCACGCAACTCCTCGTATATTTCCCTCTCTTTTTACTCAACTTATCTCCCCCTTTTTTTTCTTTTTTTCTTTCTTTTTTTCTTTTATTTTTTTCTCTCTCTCTCTCTCTCTCTTTCTCTTCCTCCTCTACTACTTTTTCTCTTTTTCTCCCGCATGCTCCAGTGAATCTAAAAACATAGAAACTTTTTAAAAGAGAGGAAGGAACATGGAAAATGAAGGGAATATATTCGGGATAAAACGAAAAATACACTTTCGAAGAAATAAAAGGATAATGATGATGAAATAAAAATATAAAATATAAATGAAGTAAATAAAATAATAACAAGGACTACTACAACAACAACAACAACAACAACAACCCCATAATTTCTTTCCATTTTTCTTTCTTTCTTTTTATTTCTCTCGTTTAAACTTCATCAACCATTCTATTTTTATTCTAATGTTTTTTCTTCGACCGTTAAATATTTTTCTTTTCTTTTTTTTTTTTTTTAGGTTATGCCGTCAGTCAAAGCAACAAATCTTGAAGATGAAGATGAACATGAAGAAGAAGAAAAAGAAGAGGAGACCATAAAGAAAAATAATGAAAGGACAGAGAGAGAGAGAGAGAGAGAGAGAGAGAGAGAGAGAGAGAAGGCAAAGCATCGTATCAGAGTTGAAAAGAAAGAATGAAAGAAAGAGAGAGAAAGAGAGAAAGGTCGTTGATCTTTTGTATGTATGACGAAACCGATGAGCCAGGAGGCCTTCTTTAATAGAGAAGTCAAGCCACTCCTCTGTGTTGCATGCATATGTATATATCGTATACAGTTCACGCGAATGCACTTCAACGCACTAATACCAACATCATTTTACGTAGATCTCCATCCCTCTTCTTCAACGTAAATATATACAGATATGTATATACATATATATTTGTATTTTTATATTAGCATTTATAAGTAATTTATATATATATATATATATTTTGTGTATTTTGGTATTTGTATATTATTTCGTATTTCTTTATTTTGTATTTTTGTGTATTTTGGTATTTCTGTATTTTGTATTTGTGTATTTTGGTATTTGTGTATTTTGTATTTGTGTATTTTGGTATTTGTATATTATTTCGTATTTCTTTATTTTGTATTTATATATTATTTTGTATTTTTGTGTATTTTGGTATTTGTATTTCTGTATTTTGGTGTTTGTGTATTTTGGTATTTCTATATTTTGTATTTCTGTATTTTGTATTTATATATTATTTTGTATTTCTGTATTTCGTATTTCTGTATTTTG